TCTGCATACAGTGCAGGTAACTGGCAGAGAAAAATCATTTTGGGGTGCACAGTTTACCACCAAGTCTGATGAACTGAGACGAATTTGTAACAAGAAGTGTGACCAGCCCCCGAGCGAACACGTAGCCTCACGTTAACGATCAACCAAAAACAATTTGAGCAGAAGTTAGAGAACAAACTGCTTCTCTGGAGGGGTGGATCTGAAACAGGCTGACATGACGCCTTTCGTCAAACAACAACTCATTTGTTGGGAACTCAGGCGTCTGAATGCTTGAGTCAAAGACAGTTCTTCAGAAAACCTTCTCCTGATTTAAAATGAAGATGTTTGTTTTCTTGTTGCTTGGCCGCAAACGGGAACGACTAAACCGGAAAATAAATGTACACGAAAAGACAAAACATCAAATCAATAAAAAAAAAGCTGCTGCAACTGAGCAGACTGCTCGCTTCATTAGTGTGTGCTGATATTGTTAAAAGGTGATAACATGGCTCAAGGGGATGACAGCTAATCAACAAATTGCATAAAATAGGACACACACACACACAGATGTTTTATCCTGCTAATGACTCAAAATAGGCCACATCCAGATGTCAGTTTTATCCAAACACTAACTTTTTTGCAAACACACACAGACCAGCTGCTGGTGGCTGATTGTGGGCCTCTCCCTCATCTTATCTGCAGCGAGCACTGCAGCAACCCCACTGTGTGTGTGTGTGTGTGTGTGTGTTTGTGCATGTGTGTGTGCATGTGCATAGGCTGAGCTCTTTGGGATCCTGTAGAGCAAGCGGTCATCAGACTTCTGTAGCATTTAAAGAACATCACACAACAGACCGGCAGCACTCGCTGAGAAGGAATGCATATCGCCCGCTGCCTTTCCTGTCAGATTTTCAAAATAAGATCACTTTGTGATGAGAAATGACGCAGGTGTAGCTGTTTTGGTCACACTATGAAACCAGCCATACGCACAATCTCATGCAATGTTGCATGGAGTCGCGCTCCGAGCATGTGTTGAGGGTCTCTCTCATCTTCTACCAAATCAAATTTGAGCTCAGTATCTGTCTGTCTGACTGAGTTGAAGCCATTTCTGTGTTGGCTACTGTTCATTAGTTGTGGCAGCCATCTTGAATTTCAATTACTCCAAAAGTTAATCAGTAGTAGTGGTACATCTTGGGATTACTTTCCAAAAGTATTAGTGAAATATTTTCAGTGGTTCATTAGATATTTTGCTAACAGACAAACAAAGTTATGTTCAATAGGTAATGCTAAAGTTATAAGTAAGGCTCTTGTACAATGAGTAGCTCTGGGTGTATGTGTTGGGGAATTAACTTCAGCTACAGCCACAATACTTGTTAGGTCAATATTTGTAAAAGATATACTATATTATATATATTATTATATATAATATACTGATTATATTGTAATCATCTTTAATTATCTTGTGTTTTGTAGGCTTAGCTGGTTGTTGAAGCCATCAAAAATTTAGTCAGTTGTTGAGTTGTGTTCAGTAATTAGTTCCTGAGAGTTTCAATAAAATCCATCCATTGGTTCATGAGATATTTTGCTAAAAGACATAGTTAACTAAAACTAGAGGAACTAGTGTGAATGCATACTGCAGAAGAACTTGCTGAAAATAGCTAAAAAATCTGAAATGTGGCTGAAATGGAAGAACAAGCCCAAATTAGCTGAAAAAGTCAGAAACACATATTTGCTAAATAAGCAGAAATGAGCACAAAAATTAGGAAATTAGCTTAAAAAGGCTGAAATTATATATGAAAAATAGCTGAAAAGGAAGAAAAAGCCTAAACCACCAGAAGGAAGTGGAAAGAACTGAACAGAGCTAAAAAAAAAAAGTGGAATTAGCTGAAAATGCTGAAATTAGCAACAGCAACAAAAAGAAACTGCTGAAAAGTAGCTAAGAAGGCAGAAAGAAGCTTAAACTAACATAATTAAGCTGAACAGAGCACAACAAGCTGAAATTAGCAGAAAGAAGTTAATTAGTCTGAAAGTAGCAGAAATGACAATGAAAAACGTGAATTTATCTGAAAACTGCCGAAAATAGCTAAAAAATGCTAAAAGAAAAAAATAAAAATTAGCTGAAAAGGTAGAACAAGCTTAAATTAGCAGAAAAAAGCAGAAAGAATGCATGTTTGTCCAATTAGATTTAAAGAAGCAGAAATGAGCCAAAGAAATGGATATTAGCTGAAAAAAGATGAAATTACCAACAACAAACAAACAAACCCCTCCAAAAACTGCTGAAAAGTAGCTTAAAAAGCCGAAAGAAGCTTAAATTACCCAAAGGAAGTGGAGAGAGTACATTTTTGCTGAAGTAGGCTGAAAAAAGTTGAAACAAGTGCATAAACATGGAATTAGCCGAAAAAGCTGAAAGTAGCATAAAAACAGCTAAATAGTAGATAAATAGCAGAAAAAGCTGAAACTTGCATAAATAAGCTAAATGGGACATTAGCAGAAAGAAGTTAGAAGAAACACAAAAATGTAGTTAGCAGAAAAAATCTAAAAGTATCACAAAACAGCTGAAAGAACAGCTGAAAGTAGCTGAAATATGTTTACATTTGCACAAGTTATCTGAAAGAAGCTGAAGCAGAACAAAATGTGAAAGGAGCAGTAAAAGGTTGTAAA